CTTATTTAATAAGGATGGTCACACAATTGAAACAAAAAGTCCAGTTGCTGTTTTGCTACCACTTCCAAAGCACTAATTGATCTAAGTGGTTTCCCGACTCTTGGTACTGAAAACTGCCCAGTGGACTTGGTCTGTACCGAGGAAGACGTGTTTCATCTCACTGACCAAGTTAAGTGGTCCTCGGCAAAGATGTGCTTAAAACCACCATTCGTTACAAAGCTACTTAGCATCTCCGTCAAAAACTAGAGAATTTCGGACGGATTGGAAACTTGCACTTGTCATGCCAATCCCAAAAGGTGGTGATAACGTCGACCCTAACAACTACCGGTCCATCTCTCTTCCACAAATACTCAGCAAACTTCTCGAGACCCAACATACGCAGTTGTTTAATTAAGCACATTGAAGAGCACTCACCAATATCTGGGGTTTCATGAAAGGGAAAGTCACAACAGGCGCTCTCTTGTCAGCTGTTGAGAACTGGTACAAGCATCTACAATCCGGTAGTGATGCATGTGCCGTCGTTTTTGACTTCTAAAAGGCCTTTGACAGTGTGTCACTCAAGTTACAACTGAAAAAGTTGTCCTCCCTGGGCCTTAATCCATAATAGTGAATAATACTTCATCATTTGAAATGAGTAGTTGCGCACAAAGTCACGTTTTCTGTGCCTGTCTCTAATAAGTGAGTGAATGGGGTACTCGGTATCAGGGTGGCGCTTTGCCCACTCCAGCAGGATGCAGTCGAGCATTAGGTGGTGAATAAACACTGGGTCGTTTGGGGAACTGGCAATGTCATACATTGAACCCTGCAGTTCTGGGGAAATGACCTTTGCATCTCCAAGTCCCAGAAGAAAGTTAACCTATGTGGACTAGGGTTAGCTATGCCAAAATGTCATCTCAAGAGTATCGACAATGCTCAACAGTTAGTACAGTCTTGTGCTGCACAGAAAATGGTGCTCACTCTACAGGATTGTATCGTCTCGTACTTAACCTGTAAAGCTTTCATTATCTCTCCATTAACAAGTATAATTGCCAGAAAGTTTCCCAGAGCCTGTTTTTTTAGAGCAAAAAAATGCATTTATAGTACGTGTGTTTCACAAAACAGCCGCTAACTAATGCTTGGATCTTGCTCCAGCAGCAGTTCAAGAAAGTGTTGTCGAAGCATTACAGTTGACACCACCAGGGATACAGGTGCAGTACCCATCATCGCGACACTCCTGGGTGCTTAATGAGTATTATAATTGAAGTCCACATCACCAAACGGCATCTCAGTACTTCACAAGGTCTCCAAACAGAACCGGACGATTACTAAGGTTTCTGGTTTGACTAAATCTACCGAAGGTGAACAACTCTTCACTGTAGGTGGTCTGGGTCTCCTGACGCCAGTCCCAGAAGGGGAGGCGGAACTTATACATAGCAGTCTTCTCGTCCTGTGGCCTGCAGTATTGCTTGTCCAGGAACAAGTGGAACCACTGACGCCAGGTGAAGAATCCCAGGCCGTGATGTATTGTGGATTACATAGTGTGAGTTTAGCTTACTCATTGTGTATATATAATGATGGTGTCTTTGTACAAGCATTATGTTGAAGTATATATAATTTTGTGCTTTATGATTTCATGGCATAAGCGCTGCAATAGATAATTCTTCGCTGTGTAACACAGAGTTTCATTTATGTCCCCAGTACTTGTGTAAGGGAGTGCACAATACCATGATAATAAGCATTCTCTGCCATTTGAAAACCCTTGGCAAACTGCGCATGCGCGATACCGCTGGGCATGCGTTTACTCGGTAGTGTATATACTACTGTAGTAAATAGCTAGCATGCGGGAGTCGATACACGCCATTCGCTGTGACTTGGATTCTTGTGCCTCCGAAGTACACGGAGCAAGCAGACCCGATCGAGGTAAGCCTGTTCTAATTTGCATATTGCATGGCTTGTTCACTTCTTTTTCACGCCATAACTTTCGAGCGCAGTATTTTTTTATGAAAATCGCCTTTTCTAAAATCAAGCCAGTGTAGCACTGAACTCGTCACTATCGCTGTTTCTCCAATTTCTTGCGCGTGGTGGCAAAAAACGTGGTAACAGACAGACAGACAGACAGACAGACTGAAAGACAGACAGACAGACAGACAGACGGACAGACAGACACAACGAATCGAGTACTGTAACCCTCGCTGCGCATGCGCGCCGAGGGTTTATTATGCCTCAGCCTGGTGTTTCTGAAGGTCTTCTTTGCTGTTGTGTGTATAAGACATGCTGCTGCTTGCCTGGCAGCATATAATTTGTATTATGAGATGAAGGCTGATTCAGACACTGTCAGTGTTCCTTCATTCCCCAAATATGAACACCAACTCAACACGTCCTTCCCCTACTGTGCATATTCCAGTGTAATACCCATCATTGGCGTTGCAGCATTTTTAATGCTGCCAGTAATTTTCTCAAACTACTATTATTTGTGCACATGACTGCACATAAATAACCCATATCTGTCTCTCTCACTACATCTCGCTCAGATGCAAACATACCCGAGCATGGAGAAACTCTGGGCTAGCAACAGCTCTCTCAGGCTCACTCTAGTGACTTGGCTTTTCTTTTTGTATGTACTCAACTGATCACGCAGGAGTAACTATTGTAATGTTGTCTCCAGACAGTTTGGGCCGGGAAGGAAACTGTGCATATAGCTACCACAAGAGGACGTATTATGTTAGCCGCAGCATTAGCCTGGCGCATAATTTTTGTGGAAGAAAATGACGGGAAGACTAAACACTGAGAGTTGCCACGATAAACTAAGACGGAACAGTATACATGATCAATTATAACTTGTTCAAACTATCATTGGTCTGGCCAGTTCCAGACCATCAGTAATTACTCGTTGGGGCACTGTCCCTTGCACGAGCAATATTCGCTGCTGCACTTGACGTTGTTTCTGCGACAGTAGCACAATCCTCTGCTCTGGCAGGAGCCAGTCCCAGGGTTGCATGAATCGCAGTGGCGTTGGTTTTTTTCTCCACGACATTCGCGCTACAGTAATCCTCAACAATGCCATACTGTCCCAACAACTGGTCCAGGAAGGGAAGGTCAGGGTAGGAGTTATAGTCCTCCGTGAGCTCTTCTCCCTTCAAGATATCACGGAGCGCATTCAAATAGGCATCATTGTAGTCATTGACTACCATGGTCATGTTAGGCGAAAAAGAGTGATTGATCATTAGCAGATCATAGGGATCGAGAGCAATCTTGTCCTTGAAACCATACACATGTATCAGCCAGTAGACCCTCTCTTCGTCGGAAGGCAGAGATTCAAGATAGGCAAGAGCTTCCTCTTCGTTGAAGTATTTGGATTCTCCAGATATTTCTGCGATCTTTGTGTTAGCTGGGATGAACTGGTCTGCAAACACACCTAGTCCCCTGCCTTCGCTCTTCTCCAGCACAACCTTGACTAAGAAACCTCGTGCAGGTCTTGGAATTAGCCCACCTCTTAGACTCTCTGCACTGTTGTATTTAGACATACTTAGCTATCGTAGTTGCTGTGTCTTTGTCCAGTGAATAAACCTCAGCGATATACTTGTTCGTATATATCCACCACTCCTTATATTCAGCTGTGATATCTGACTCTAATATAATACAACAAAACCAGAACAGTGAGAACTAAAGACGATACAGCACTTATAAAGGAACTAGGAAAGTTCGGAAATAGAATCACAATTTGTAAACAAGTCAATGAATATATAGTCCAAAATTCCTGAGCAATAAAACAACTCAGGAAGTTCCTCCGGGGGAGGGTCCGAGTTGGCTGGGGCAAGGAGGTCTTCTAAGTTGGGCACAAACTTGGCCACATCCATCAACTCCAGTTTTTTGGGGTCAATGAACTCGTGCTTTGTGTTGGGAGGAAAAGCGATGGCGTTCCAGGCTGTACTCAGGGTTGTTGTAACCGAATAGTTGAAAACACTTTGGGCTGAGTCAGCCACTTGAGACCACACACAGTTAGCCGACAAAAAGTTACCAGCTTGCTCATCTGCGACCAGACCCCCATCAAAGGGTGGGAACAAAGCATGGATACGAACAGCGAGAAAACCATCGTGATCGATGACTAACAGCTGCCCAGGGTTCCCTCCATCAACTGTCTCCAGCCGGTGTGGAAAAAAGAGGGAGTTATCCCAGTAATGAGAGTCATTGTGCCTAAGAAGGCACTTGGAGTTGGCACTGTATTAGAGCGTTGGTAGACGCTCTATATAGGGATGGCAAATCTCACGTGATCCGCGTACAAAACGCCTCAAAACTCAGCGAGAATGTCTCCCCAGGCTTCAAAAATCAGTAGCAGCTGCGATAGTCTACAGGCCAATATCTAGCTATACATATGCCTCAAGACTTTGCACGTGCCTTCAGTTCTCCACGCGAGTCAAATCGCTCATGCGCTATTTCACAATGTTTGTGTCACCATATCTTCCTCTTCTTCTTACCTGCTATCTCCTTACCTTAAACAGTTGATCGCTGATTTTTTCACTTAACGTCTCCAGATTCGACGGAGGTGTGCATGAAGAAACGATCACTCGGTAGCCGTGCACACCTCCGTCGAATCTAGAGGCGTTAAGTAAGCCGAGTTTTGAGGCGTTTTGTACGAGGATCATGTGAGATTTGCCATCCATATATAAAGCGTCTACCGACCCTCTAATGTACTATAATAGTGCCAACTCAAAGTGCCTTCTTGGGCACAATGACTCTCATTACAGGGACAACTCCCTCTTTTTTCCACACTGGCTGGAGACAGATGGTGGAGGGAACCCATGAGCAGCTGTTAGTCATCGATCACGATGGCTTTCTCACTGTTCGTATTTCACACCCTATGGTGGGGGTCTGGTTGCAGATAAACAAACCAGTAACTTTTGTCGGCTAACTGTGTGTGGTCTCAAGTGGCTGACTCTGCCCAAAGTGTTACCATATGTGTTGTTACAGCAGCCCTGAGTGCAGCCTGGAACGCCATCGCTTTTCCTGCCAACAGAAAGCACTAGTTCATTGACCCCAAAAAAAAGAATTGGAGTTGATGGATGTGGCCAAGTCCCTGCCAAACAGCCAACTCGGAGCAACCTCCTGAGTGATTTTATTGCTCAGGAATTTTGGACTGTAGAAATAATCATTAACTTGTTTACAAGTTATGAATCTATTTCCGAACTTTCCTAGTTCCTATATAAGTGCTAAATCGAGTTCTCACTGTTCTGGTTTTTTGTTGAGTGATTTTATTGCTCGGGTATTTTGGACTATATATTCATTAACATGTTGACGAGCGGGAGCAAGCCAACCTTGTTATTCGATCGAGCGGATTTATCTTAGTATAATTATACAGTAATACTTAGTATATAGGGATGACACAGGTTGTCCTGCATTGTGCCCATACATTTGAGATTTGAACGTTTCACTTTCAGTTCCAATCAGTTCCAACATCTGACATATTGGATCTGTATCATCAAAAGGAGCACGTACTTGCACAAATCGTAGAATTGATAACTGATTAATTCAAGAAAGGTAGTTCACAAAATTCTTCTTCTCGTTGTTCAGTTTAGACAAGCGTAGCTATCTCAAAAACCAGGTAAGATAATGAAATGAAACTTCGCACAAAGTTTGGAATCCGTGACCAGGCATGCAAAAGCATTTTAATTTGTTTGTAAACAAAAACAAACAGTCTCAGGCAACAAAAACTTGCAAGATATTTGTACCTATAACTTGCTTATGGTGGGTCCTCAACAATGCACTTGGTAAACTGATTTACCATGATAACATAAGAGTTCATCAACACATAAATTACAAGTTTGTAAACATGTGCTGTGTTTTTCCTATAACTTGCTTATGCTGGGTCCAACCTTGATTCACTTATTAAAGCGTCGGTAGACGCTCTATATAGGGATGGTAGGTCCGGGTCAAATCTCACATGATCGCGTACAAAACGCCTCAAAACTCGGCGAGAATGACTCGCTAGGCTTTAAAAATCACTAGCAAAAGTCTACAGGCCCGGGGTCTAGCTATACATAGCTATATATAATAATATGCCTCAATACTTTATACGTGCCTTCAATTGTCCACGCGAGAAATCGCTCATACGCGATTTCACGATTTTCATCAGAGCGTCGGTGGACACTCTATGTAGGGATGGCACGAGTGTAATCTCACGTGATCCGCGTACAAAAACGCCTCGAGAGTCTGCTAGAATGGCTAGCTATGCCTTCAAAACACACCAAAAGTCACTCACGGGTCCATATATGTCCATGTAATTCTCGACACAAGAATCCGCTCATACGCGATTTCACGTGTCATCATCATCATCTTCTTCTTCTTTAGACCCGCTTTCTCTTTACTGGAACCAGTTGATGCGCTGAATTTATCACTAAACGTGTCCCGCGATGCTGGAGGTGTGCATCGTCGTAAATAGATCTTTGTTTTCTTGCCGCCTATCGCCACTACAGCAGACAAAAAACGACGCCATTTCTTTCACGCGGTTCTCGAAACCGCACACCCACTTCCGTCGAAATGGTGGGTGCCTGGGTGGAACTGCGGAAAGAGACCGCGAGACCGCGTCGCTGCTATATAGTCTGGTGCCCAGACCCATCACAAAATACGCGCACGCGTAAACGCATGCGCGAGGGAGGGAGAGAGGGTCTAGTAAATAACTACGCCTCTCCACAGGCCAAGGAATTTCAGCAACCGCTTATCTCGAGTGGTTGCGGTTACGCCCAACTGTGATGAAATCATTATGCGCTATAATACTGTGGTAGCTAGAGCGCGGCCGTAGCGGCGAAGAGGGTTCTCGGGGTAGGTAGCGAAAATATATCTCGAGAGTTATCTCTCTATTCTGAGGAGCTGGCTCCTTTTATACAATAGAACCAATCTGAAAGATGAGTGGAGGAAACAGGAAAGGTGGGAGGTGGGAAGAGGTTAAAGACAGCAGGTGAGGAATAGGTGGTGGCGTGGTCTAGAGGAAGATGTGATCAACGTTTGGGCATAGCATATGCGACCCTTTCAGTGAGGTATATACAATAGAATGGGAGTAGGAAGGAGTGCTAAAGAAACTAGCTACACAGGGTGAGGGATTACACACTCTCGTTTACACTCTAGTCTACTAAAGGGATGAATAGTGGTGAAGGGCTGCGTCACTGCTGTTCCTACATAGTACTCTCCCACGCAGTCCTTCACAAATACTAACGCACGCGTACACTTTCTGCTTTTTTGACGGATGAACGGTACTTGCAGAGCCTGCGGAGAGAGCCTGCTTGACCCAAAAGCTCGTAGACCCCTGCAAGACTTGCCCAAACGCGCTGTGGAGGATTGAGTGACTGCAAACCAACAACTTCAACAGCCTTGTCGATCGCTTGCTCTAGCTCCATTATTATAAAACGTGACGTTCCATGACACGCAACACCATGACGGACTCGCAGAGCTATCCGGACCCTGTTCGGTTAGTAATTGCATACCAACACCTTTTCCAGCATTCTAGCCTTGGCCCGCGGAGAGGCATAGTTATTTACCAGACCCTTCTCTCCGTCCCTCGCGCATGCCTTAGCTCTGTGACTGACACTGTTTTGTTCGTGTGTATGGCGTGGGAGACCCTCTGACGGGTGTGGGGTGCCTACAGGGGATTTCGAGCACCAGGCAGCTGCTAGACGCGGACACGTGGCGTCTGTAGTATTGTGGACGTCATGGTGGGATGGGTAGCCCCTTTGGTTCGTGTTGCCGACAGTCTGTGATGGTATCTCACCTCTGCCTACGCCCCCGCAATCCTGATCTACGGTGGTATGAGGTTCCAGGCAAGTCAACTTGAGTGACTTCAGCCCTGGTAGAACACATGGCATCTGTTGGATGTCATGGCGGGATGGGTAGTCCCCTTGGTTCGTGCTGCCGACAGCGCTGTCTTTGCCTCTCACCAGACTTGCCGTTCTCACCTAAACCCCCGACTATGTCTCTCCATGTTCCATAATTTGTTTTTTTTGCGTGCGTGTTGTGTTACAACTCCTGTAAACCCAGGGTATGATGATGATTGATTGATTGATTGATATTTTGTGAAGGTCTGGGCACCAGACTACGTATCGGCGCGTTATTAAAGCAGACCGCGTGGTCCACGCTGTGCGCTCCGTTTGGCCGCTGGTTTTTCCGCTCGCCTTGGTTTTCCACCGCTTTGCTCCGGAATTTGGGCTAAGCTGGTAAGGAGCTAGGATCAACTGGAGTGTAGCATAGCGACTTCCGGCCACGCCCAAAATCACTCCGTTGTACAGAACTTCGCGTAAAAGGGGTGTGATTATTTTACGCGACTTACCCCACGACTTACCCCACGACTTACCCCACGACTTACCCCAGTGGAAATTCGAGGTGTTCCATCTGTCATGGAGCTGCTGACTCGTTCGGCGATCACCATGTGGGGTTTGGCGGGAATGGTGACAGAATTTTCCGCCATGACTCGATCCGTGATGCAATCTTCTCTGCAGCCCAGTCTGCTGCTTTAGCGCCACGGAAAGAGTTTCCTTCCCTGATTCCAGGTTGCCACAATCGGCCAGCTGATGTTTTCCTCCCACATTGGGATAGGGGTCTCCCTACAGCACTTGACATCTCCGTTATCTCTACTCTCCAACAACGGACAGTGCACGGTGCCGCGGAAAATCAAGGGTATGCCCTGTCAATATGTGAGGAGCGGAAGATGGCTACTCATGCTGCCTCTTGCAGAGCGGTGGGGGTCTCCTTCATCCCCCTCGCTGTTGAGTCACTTGGGGGTTGGAGTGATGTGGCTGCCAAGACCATCAGCCGTATTGGACGCCTTTTGGGCCAAAGACTTGGCATCCCCCCCTCTATCACCTCTCGCCAGCTGTTCCAGAGGTGCTCCGTGTCGCTGTGGAGAGGGAATGCTGCCCTGTGGCTGCACCGTTTCCCTCCTATCTCCTCCTTCATTGACAGTGTTATTTGACTTGTATAATATAAAAAATAAGTTTTTTTTGTTTGTTCTTTCTGTTTGCTTGTTTTTGTTGTTATTGTGCTTTTGTTTTTGTTTTTTTTTAGTTTTTCTAGCTATACATATTTTTTGTCTGTATGCATCATTTCTTTTTATTTTATTTTCCGTTATTTATTTATTTATTATTGTAACGTCTACTGATGGTTTTTATTTATCCCCCACGACTGAATCATGGCAGGACTTTACGGGACCTACGCCATAATCCCACCATGGGGGAGTTTTACGCAGGTTGCAACCCACGTTAAACCCCGTCTAGTAGAAAGGGATGCTCTTATAGTGGCACGGTTTTACGCGACTTGGTAATGATCCTCAAAAAGCCAACTGCTCTGCAAGGCTTTTGCGTCGTCAACTCTAGACCTTTGACCTCACGTAAAATCATGCCAGAGTAACTCCCGTCCCCTACTCTGCAACCTTTTTACTCGCGCACGCAGAGTGCCGAGTTACGCGACACACCCACCTAGTGTGCGCATGCGCGTGTGGAGAATTCATTGCGCATGCGCACCAGAAAGAGGGTTAGGAACAAGTACCCAAAATGAGGGCTGGGCTCATAAAGACAATCAAGAAGGCTGTGCATGTGTGAATTATGATCACTGGGTATAAATGCCATAGTGGTGAATAGCATGTGTGATTACTTCCTTCGAGTCTGTTGTTGATTAGTCGAGGATCATAAATCCATCTTCATAAAGAGCAAATTCTTCACTGGTTTTGTCAGATGGGAAAAACACTGCATACTTCTTGTGTTGAGCCCAGTCCCCATTTTGATCTTGTTCCCAACCCTCTTTCTGGTGCGCTAGCTCCACCCGCGCATGCGCACACTAGGTGGGTGTGTCGCGCCGCTCGGCGCTCTGCGTGCGCGAGTAAAAAGGTTGCAGAGTAGGGGACAGGAGTTACTCTGGTATGATTTTACGTGAGGGTTAGAACGGAAGTTACTAGAATGAAGTTTTCCACGATGGTGTTTGTGGCCCTAAAAAGCCACCGTATAGGTAAAGCCTGTGATAATTAGCATATTGGCTTCTTGACTTGGTTTTCACGCCATACCTTTCTTTTTATACACGAAAATCGCCATTTTGGAAATAAAGCCTGTGTAGCGCTGAACCCGTTGGTGTTGCTTTTTGGCCGGTTTGTTGCGCGTGGTGGCAGAAAACGTTGTAACAGACGGACAAACGGACAGATAAAAAAAAAATACTGAGCCGAAGGTTAACAAACTTCACCCAGTGCCGCAGTGGAAGACGTGCTGTAAGTGCCTGCGCATGCGTACGCGCGTTTGCACGCTCTCAACTGTCACTTTACACTGTTATGAAAATTGGCATAGATGGTACTATACAGTGGAAATGTTAGCGAGCGGGAGCGACCCACCTTGGGATTTGCCCGCGATGTTCGGGCTGCATAACGTGCTGTCAGCGCACAGCTTTCCTTACGTCGAGCAAGACATATCTATCTGTCGCCGTTACTATAATTGTCAGAACGGTGAGCAGGTGAGCAGAACGGTACTTACCTTATGCTTTCAGCTCGTCAGTCGTGGTGCACCACGCAGCTGGCATGCAGCAGTATGTGCACGAGCAAATTTTCAAGTTGCACCTTCGAACCATGAAGATTGGGAAGAGGTATATAGGATCAAGTGTAGAGAACGGACCCAGCGCGCAACTGTCTACTTCCGGAAGCCGCGCAAGTGACCGCGCCCCCACGCACATGTCACGCGCCATAAGCCACGCCCCCTAAAACATTGCTCACGCACGAAATAACGGGAGGGGCTGCTAACTGAAACTCTTGCAAATCCACAGGCTATTTTTGTAAAACGTGCAATGGTAAGCCGAGCGGCACCAGAATCTTTACGGCAGGTTGGCAGCATCCTCTCCCTTTCACGCGCTCTGGTAGCTGAATTCATTTCTCGAAACAACAGGTCATGAACGTGTGGTAGCAAGATGGCTAGTTCAATCAGGCCCTTGGTCAGGAACCAAGCGATCTGCTGATCAGCGTCAGCTCCCAGAGCGCGTGAAAGTGAGAGGATGCTGCCAACCCGCAGTAAAGTGTCTATTCCGGTGCCGCTCGGCTTACCATTGGACGTTTAACAAAAAAATAGCCTGTGGATTTGCAAGAGTTTCAGTTAGCAGCCCCTCCCGTTATTTCGTGCGTGAGCAATGTTTTAGGGGGCGTGGCCTATGGCGCGGCCTATGGCGCGTGACACGTGCGTGGGGGCGCCGTCACTTGTGCGGCTTCCGGAAGTCGTTGCGCGTTGGGTCCGTTCCTACACTTGATCCAAGACGTAAAGAGGTACAGCCTCGGTCAATCACCGAAGATTGCAGCGCATGCCGTCGAATGGAGGAGAGTTCTCTTAGCTGGCTAGATCGATCGGCGCATATCGCGAGGCAGCGGGTGTGAAATGTGAAAAAAAAGAAACGCGTAAAGAAGCCGCGCATGCGCACTTACATGACGGTCGTTTGAACGAACGACACCCCCCAGGTTGGCTCGCTCCCGCTCGCCAATAAAAATGTTCATTCCTGTGAACTCCAGTCTCATGCTAAGACCTGTTATGCAATATGACGGTCTGGGTATGATACTACATACGTCAACACTTGTGACAAATGCCATTAGTGGAATCCCCTTTGTACCAAAGGCCTATAAAAGCCGATCGTATCCAGCTAGCAAGCTAGAAGCAACGAGCAAAGCTCTCACATTTTCTACTTTGCGAGCTCATCCAGCTATATACTCGATTGCAGTTGAAAAAAAATGAATGCTCTTACTTTTTCTGGAGTGTTTCTTCTTCTGCTCTTCAGCCTCTCCAATGCTGATGTTTGCACCAAGTTTTCAGATATGAACTCTGAGCTTTACCAGTGCAACGTGGAACTTAGTCAACGTTCGAACTCAGCCTGCGAGGGAAACTGCAGGTCTGTACTGGAGCAATACGCAGATGATTGTTTGAGTGGTGCTGCACAAGCCTACAAAGACAGCATCACTGCTGTGTGTGGTGATGTTGGGGGAAGCAGTGCTGCAGGAATTGGGTCCACTACACTGCTCACCACTGTGTCGGCTCTTCTATTTGCCGTCTACACTGCCATCATGTAGCTAATGCAGAGCTGAAGCACAATGAATGACTCTGTAGTGTGCTAGTATAGATTATTGTGAAAACTGAAGAGAGAACTTTATAACCATGTAGTGGTTTGTAACAATAATTAGAGTGTATCATTATTGTAATGGCACGAGTTGTAAGAATTGTAGTATGAAATATCGATGTGACCGATGTGCAAAAACACCGCACGTTACTTTTGGCTGAAAGAAAAAGTTTTGACATTACTTTCTCTTGATCTTTGCAAGATAAAGACAGGGGATACTCAACCTGCGGCACTGCTACGGTCAATGTATTCTGGACAGTTTGCTTCTCTTCCTTTCCCAACTTGCTTATTAAATGTACGATAAGTTTAGGATAGGTATTCAGAAAGGTTGAATGGCCTATCACTTGCTTTTCAAAGTTTTGCCCAGCAAAGTTTGATCTCTCTTTCTCTCTCTCATTCAGGTTGTCTGTCTTGTGTTTCCCTGCATGTGTCTGGAAAAAGTTTAGGTCACCCAAATTTTCACTTCTGAGGATAACCCTCAGTGTGCAGGTACACTGCAGTTAGTGTATGTTATGTGTAGGGTTGAGTAAATTATGCCGGCATAATTTGGTAACTCTTGTTTAGCATAAAGAATTATGCCAGGATAATGACGGGTTTGACGCAGAGGGTGTTAATTAGAATGTGCACATAACACGTAGTGAAATGGCTGAATACTGAGCGCTACAGCACTGACCTCAAACTCACGTGAAACTAGAGCACTCTTTTTATGTCAATGTCACTTTTAAAGTGTCATTTATATCAACATCTTTCAAAAATGTCAAGCATAATGAAAAAAATACTGGCATAAATGCCACGCAGTGCAGACCGTCAGAGGATGTATATCGGATGCTAGTCATCCTGTCTTATACATACATTATTGGAGAGGTTTTTGATGAAATTCCGATGGACGTCCTGTTTACTCTTCATATCTGGAATTAGGAAGCTTTGCGGTTTTGGAATGCACACCATCAGATGTAGTGTGCTTTGTATGCATACATGTACAGACGTGCCACACTCATTTTCTTTCCATAAAGTGTATAATAGTCCGACTTGTATGTACACATAATAATTATATAGAATCGTATTTCCACGCCAGTTTACAGCTTTCTCTCTCTCCCTTCTTCCACTTATATATCTCCTTCCCCTTCCCATCTTTTACTCTTTTTGCCTCCATTAAAGCCAACTGAGCCCCAGGCGCCCACAGTGGAAATACCAGATTCCCACAAGAATATGCCCCCCCCCCCCATTGTTGTCACGCCCCCTTCCCCCGGCGGTCAAACGAGTTCTGGAACCGGTCAGGGGAGTGATGTCACCAAGAGAAGGAAGAGTGACAGACTGATAGTTGTCGAGAAGGTATATATATACAAATGTAATAGAATCAGGATCAGTATTCACACTCATATTCATTGGCAAGCGAAGCGAGCCCACCGGCTAGTCATCTGAATGCGGAATTTTTGTACAAGTGGAAAAATCATTTCTTCAAAATGAAAGGGGGATATAGGGATGGTTTGAAGCACCAAAAAGGAAGAAACAAGGGGTTATTACACAGCAAAGATGCACAAAGCTACATGACACCATCCCTATATCTTTGTCTGATATTAAACTTTACTTCAAGGTAAACTGTTGCAGAGTGGAAATGACGGAGACGTCAAGCGCGGCTCTTTCCCAATTAGGGAGGAAAATGTCAGCAGGGCGAGATTGGTTGTGAACAATAACACAAAGATATAGGGATGGTGTCATGTAGCTTTGTGCATCTTTGCTGTGTAATAACCCCTTGTTTCTTCCTTTTTGGTGCTTCAAACCATCCCTATATCCCCCTTTCATTTTGAAGAAATGATTTTTCCACTTGTTTCCACTATTTTTCACGCCTTATGACAACACTGCATTTTCAGTCACTCTGATGTTCATGGGTGTTGTAGAGATAACTGTTGAAAGCAGAAGTTAATGGGCTGCTCCTACCTGAAGCAGGGTGTATGCGTAGTGTCTCCAACAAGGATGCAATTAGATTGTGGCACATATGGTGGGGTGGTTTCATAGGCAGGCTTCAGTAATCAGACTACAATGATAGCTATAACCTGGGGGACAAAGAATGAAGGCGCTGTGCAAGGCCCGCGTAACACGGCGCACACTGCCAAGTTGCTCCTCGTGCAAATCAACAGCTAAACGCAAGCTAGCCAGTTAAAATGTGTATACTGACTTACAGAAGGCACTGGAGGATAAGAATTCCTCTGCAGGCTAGGCATCCTGGCTTAGTCTCGTGCACCAGGTTCACGCACGAAATGCGCGCGCACCGCATTGGGGAAACGCCCTCCTCGGCGCATGCGGCTCACTGATGCTGAGTTAGCAGCAAATGGCGTTGTTCAGTGACTACCGTGGAAGAGCTCAATGATCTACCGTAGTGACTTGCGGCAAGAAACAAGCGATCGCTTGATATGCGTGCACACCTCCGGAAAATTTGGAGACGTTCTGTGAAAAAACCAACGCTTCAACTGCTTCCGGTAAGGAGCTAGCGGGTCTGAAGAAGAAGATGAAGAATAATGATGATGATGATGATGATGATGACACGAAAATCGCGAAATCGCGTAAGTGCGAATTCTCTGGTGGGGAACTGAGGGCACGTAGGAAGTCTTGGGGCATATGTATAGCTAGGTATTGGCCTCTAGACTATTGCTAGTGATTTTGAAGCCATGGTGAGTCATTCTCGCTGAGTTTTGAGGCGTTTTGTACTCGGATCACGTGAGATTTCACTCGTGTCATCCCTATATAGAGCGTCTACCGACGCTCTGATATGTACGTAGGGGCACAGCCATGACCGTAATGTTATACGTGATTTTCTAAATATGCATGAAACCAATCTAACTATGTAGCTAGTAGGCTTGCGTCTTTGTCCTGGTGCTATCGTCAAGTGCTACATGACACACATTAACTTTACATCAAACCTTGGAATTATTACATAGCTACAGGGCTCGCTTAGAAAGCAGAGTGTCGTGTGTTCGAATCCTACATAGAGAAGCTCTTCTTTTTTCCTTGAAAAAAGAGTTGTTTTAGGTTCGGTTGACTAAAGCTTCAGTTGACAGAGGCTCAGTGTAGAAGGAACGTGGATGAAATATTGAAGATAGACTGATCAACTTACACAGTCCAAAGTGAGACTGACAAGGAACTAATAAGAAGAGTGAGGAATTCAAACAAAGAGGGGGAGAGGGAGAAATGGGATTAAAGGGAGAAGGAAGAAGATAATGTGCCAATGAGGAGGGAGGGAGAGGGGGGAGGGGAGGGAGGCTAACTGAATAAGCAGACACTTGCCTCTGGTATAATTTGCAATGGATGAGAGTAGTGAAATCCAAAACGTTGGGATTAAAGGGAGAAGGAAGAGGATAACGTGCAGTGTGAAATAGAAGGAGGGAGTGAGAGGGGGGAGGGGAGGGAGGATAACTGAATAAGCAGACACTTGCCTCTGGTATAATTTGCAATGGATGAGAGTAGTGAAATCCAAAACGTTGGGATTAAAGGGAGAAGGAAGAGGATAACGTGCAGTGTGAAATAGAAGGAGGGAGTGAGAGGGGGGAGGGGAGGGAGGGTAACTGAATAAGCAGACACTTGCCTCTGGTATAATTTGTAATGGATGAGAGTAGTGAAATCCAAAACGTTGGGATTAAAGGGAGAAGGAAGAGGATAACGTGCAGTGTGAAATAGAAGGAGGGAGTGAGAGGGGGGAGGGGAGGGAGGGTAACTGAATAAGCAGACACTTGCCTCTGGTATAATTTGCAATGGATGGGAGTAGTGAAATCCTAAACTTTGGGATTAAAGGAAGAAGGAAGAGGATAGTGTGCAGTGTGAAGTAGAAGGAGGGAGCGAGAGGGGGAGGGGAGGGAGGGTAACTGAATAAGCCGATACTTGCCTCTGGTATAATTTGCAATGGATGAGAGTAGTGAAATCCAAAACTTTGGATTTATAGGAAGAAGGAAGAGGATAATGTGCAGTGTGAAATAGAAGGAGGGAGGGAGAGGGGGGAGGGGAGGGAGCA